GCGGAAAAAATTAGAAAAATAAAATTGTTAGATAAAAAGCATGAATAATAGCACATGGATTTTCACAAAAGCTTAATATTAATTATGAAGAGACATATTCTCTTGTGATAGATGCAATTACTTTAAGATATTTAATTAGTCTGGCAATACACAAAAAACTTGATATGCACCTAATGGATGTTGTTACAACCTATTTATATGGCTATTTAGAACATAAAGTTATATGAAAATCCCTGAAGGATTCAAATTGCCAGAAACATATAAAAATTCTTGAGAAAAACATGTAATTTGTTTGCATAAATCTTTGTATAGATTGAAACAATTTGGAAGAATATGGTATAACTGTCTCAGTGAATATTTACTGAATGAAGGTTATAAAAATGATCCATTCTCTTCATGTGTTTTTATAAAGAGAAATGGCTTAGAGTTTGTTGTAATTGCTATCTATATGGATGATTTGAATATAATTGTAACTCCTGAAGAGCTCCAAAAGGCAGTTAATTGTTTAAAAAAAGAATTTAAAATGAAAGATCTTGGAAGAACAAAATTTTGCCTTAGTTTACAAATCGAGCACTTAGCAAATGAAATTTTTTTCATCAATCAACTTACATTCAAAAACTATTAAAGCGATTTTATATGGACAAGGCAAATCCACTAACTACTCCGATAGTTATAAGATCTCTTGATGAGAAAAAAGATCATTTTCACCCTCAAGAAAAAGATGAACCTCTTCTTGGTCCTGAAGTACTATATCTTAGTGCTATAAGTGCACTAATGTATCTTGCTAATTCAAGAATTTGTTGTAAATTTATTAGCAATATTTGGTTATTCCCCAACAAAAAGGTATTGGAATGGATTTAAAGGCTTATTTCAATATCTATGAGGGACAATTGATATGGGATTGTTTTATTCTAATGAATTTGGATCACAGCTTAATTGTTATGCAAATGCAAGATTTCGATCAGATCCACATAAAGGTAAATCATAGACTAGATATTTTTTTACTCCTGGGGGTACAGCAATATCTTGGTGTTCAGCAAAAAAAACTTTAGTTACTACCTTATCAAATTATACAAAATCATTGCAATTCATGAAACAAGTAGAGAACATGTTTGGCTAAGGTCAATGATCCATCATATCCAAAAGATGTGTAGTTTATTGTTGGAAAAAAATATTCCAATAATATTATATGAAAATACTACAACGTGCATAACTCAATTGAAAGGAGGATATATACAGCAAAGGAGATAGAATTAAACATATTTCTCTAAAATTCTTTTTCACTTATGACCTTTTGAAGAGCGGTGATATAGATGTTTAGCAAATTCACTCATATGACAATCTTGCATATTTATTTTCTAAGACATTGCCAACTTTGACATTTGAAAAGTTAATGTATGGCATTGGAATGCATAGATTTAAAGACATAAAGTGATGGTGTCACCAGGGGGAGTGAAGTGATATTGTTACTACAGGAGACTAGGGGGAGTAAATATCATGTTATACTCTTTTTTCCTTTTCAAGATTTTGTCCCACTAGGTTTTACTAGAAAGGTTTTTAATAAGGCAACATTAGCGAGTGTTTAAAGATATTGTGTATACTTTTTCCTTCAAAAGATTTTTATTCCATTGAGTTTTTCCTAGTAAGGTTTTGATAAGTCATAATACTTGTTATGGACATCCAAGAGGGAGTGTTATAAATATTGTATTATAGATGTCCATAACTCATAGCTCTTAGGATTCTTTTATTCTTAATGTCCTAATAAATGGCATGGAAGGAGTTTCTTATTGTTAATATCTTATAACCTTTAACGGTTACATAATGCACCATTATATGCCTCTTTATATCTTTGTAAGATTAGGATAAGACTTGAATGATTGAAAGCTTATAAATAGAGGCCATGTCCAAAGCATATATACACAAGTGAATAAAAACTATCCTCCATTATTTTCTCTCTCTATACTTTTTGTATTATCTTGTTCTTCTCTACCCTTCATATTAACTATATTTTATAATAGCATCCACTTCATTTAAGTTATCATCTTCTTGTTGGCCTAAAAAAAACTCATTATCTCCTTCACTTTATTTTTAAACACATCAAGTACTCTTTGAAGCGACCATGGGAGTTAAAGAAGATCGACTCCACGTGAATACAATACAATGATTCCAAGTTTCGTCTATCACAGTTGGTACCTGTTACACCCCAATACTTAAGGGTATGATCGGCATGGAATATAAGGTGAACTCATATTCCATAAGCCTCGATTAATGAGAATTTAGCTAAAATCTTAGTATATGTAAGTTATATTCATTAATAATAAAGTTAGCAAAGTCTAAATGTTTTGTGAAAATTTCAACAGAGTCTCCCCTATAATTTGACCCTCCTGAAATTTTCACAACAATAACAAAACCTGTCAACTCAACCAATAAGGAGACTATTTTCAGTTTATCAATTTACATCATAACAAAAGAGATTAATGCCTAATCATAAGGTACGTGGAGCACTAACTTGTAATTTACAAAATACAAAATGAAATTTCACCAAAAGGATAATCACCATATACTTCCTTTTTTCTCAAAAAACAATAAGGCCTTTAATGGTCAACTGGAGGTGCAGGGTCAGTTATACTATCTGAGATAAAAAATTTACCAGTAAGTAGTGTTCTAATCGAAATTGTAGTAAAGAAAATATGAAGATCATAAATAATAAATTTAACTTCAAATGCCTTAATGAAATAATGAATTGCCCTTAACTAGAAATAGATAGCAATCTTGAATTTTTTTTTATAAGATGATCGTGAAATTAGTCAATGCTAGTGAAGTCATATATATTTTAAAATAAAAATTCCACTGCTCATAAAATATAAAAATATTTAATAATGGTGCAATTCAATAAAAAGGATTTCAGAGAATAAATAGAAAATTGAAAATGTTAACTAAAATTTAGAAGGGCTCTATCAGAACGAATAACAAGTGTGGACACACAGTCTACGAGGGTAAATAACCCATCAAGCATGACTGAAAGCCAGCGCGGCAAGAGTCACGAATCAAGCGCAGGCATAAAGCCCACGAAAACAAGCGTGAGTACGATGCTCACGAATAATTATCCCTCCGTTCCATGTGCGTTGGCCTGCACACGGGGCTAGCACCTCCTAAAAGCACTCTGCCAGCTAGGTGTACCATGGCGCGCCAAGAGCTACGGAATTGCCGTTAGCATCCAGCTTTCTGAATTCAATCCCCCTTAGTAAACTTTAACATGTATGAAGCAAGAGAAAAATTTCAAAATTTTCTTTTCTCTTCTTCTTCTTTTTCCACTTTTAAAGACTGATCAATTATTATTATTATTATTATTACTTCATCAATACTTGTCAACTATATAAACTACCAATAAAATCAACACCTTCTCTTCAATAAAACAATTATTAGGAAAATAGGATAAATGAGAATAATTGTACAATTTATAAAGATAATCACTAAAATTCTAAATAGGGAGATTTTTGTAAATACTTTCCTAAGAATTTACTTAGAACGCTACTCATTCACATGAGAGTTTCTCAAATTTTAAAGCTCGTTCTCTCCCATCTCTTACCTTAATTCCAATGATGCCATTAGATTCCTAGCAAGTAAATTAAAAACCCTAAAATCAATTATTTATTATTTCCTTATCAAATTGGCAACTTGACCTTAATCCAACCATATAAACAATTTCAATATGCTTTCTAAACACATTTCTTTATCGAAAATAGATTAGAGTTCTAAAAAACAATTCCTAAATCTATAATATTGGTCTTTAGGCATTGAATATACTTAATTACTCCACTTTGACTCTTCTACTTATTTTCTCAACACTATAAATGCATTAATATTCAAATCACACGTTCCATTATTTATACATTACTCAAGACTAATGAAGAAAATTGTCTAACAGCACTAATGTAGAGAAAGGTTCACTGCATCCAACATCCTAGGTTGAACTTTCGATCCAAGTGCAACATTTTAGTCCTAACCACAATTAAAGTATCAAGAATAAAGAACAGGGATCACATCAATCAGCTGAAAGAAGGACGGAATGATTCAGCGGTGCCGCATAGTGTAAAGAGGACAGAAAGAAAACAATATCTCACCTCAACAAAGCTTAGTGGCAGCAAGTATGATTCAGCCACTGAACAGCGTCGAAGCAGAAAAAGCTAGGGGTTCAAATCTGTCAACACACGAGGAGGAAGAAACTATGATTCCAACCAACAGTAAAAGAAGCAGCAACCACCTACACCCACACTGAACTTTGACGATAGGGAAGGAAGAAATGAGGAAAGAAAAACTGACCACCATGCACACCCAAATTCGGCACAAAATAGAGCAAGAAAACGAGGGATATACCTTTCCACTGTGACTGACGAACAATGACCGAGGAGAAGAGGAAGATGGCAGCTAAGACAGCAAACTGCTAACAGACTCTCGTGGACACGAAACAACACGATATAGTGGGAGAAAATCAGTAACTCGGTTTAACAGTGACTAGCAGATGAGGACGAGAAGGTGAGATGATATGAAGCAACGATAGCCACAAAAATAGTCAGTTAATGGCGAGTTAAGTGTGTTGATAAGGATTAAAGAAATGGACCGACTTAAAAGATCTAGAGGAGTGTAGGAAGGCGGTGAGAAAATGAATCAAAGTGCTCTGTTTTTTCTTCACACACAAGAATCGAAATCAGAACATAAAGAACATGGGAAAATTTACAAAAAAGAGCACGAGGAATTACAATAAAAGGCACAAGAAAATTATGATAAGGAACATGAAATTTTTTTATAATTTAAAAGCAAGGTTTTGCTTTGAAAAGTTTAATCCTTGCACAAATTCTAACAAATTTTTCCTATAAATGCCCCCTTTTTAATTTCTATGAAATTTATTTAAATAAAAATATTTATTAAAAAATTTTTTGTTTGACTTAAAATGTAGGATCATTACAGTACCATTACCAAATGAGTGTGTCCAAAAAAAGTTGAAGAGGCTAGCTGCACATACGTATTATTTTTGAAACATATATATAAAAATTAGAAAACTATGCCAATAGCATGGGTGTTTTGTGGATCTTAGCGACTAGGCAGAGATCATTTTTCTTGTGTACGGTTATTCCTGGTATGCACTCTGTGTCGATGTCTTGCTCCACCATACCAGCAGGCAATTCCCAATCAAAAGAGCGAACAAGATTAGCAAGTGCAAGCTCCACGTTCATTACTCCCATTTGCATTCCGGGACAAATCCTACGTCCAGCTCCAAATGGAATCAGCTCAAAATCATGCCCTTTGTAGTCTACTGAACAGTTGAAGAACCTTTCTGGATAAAATCGTTCTGGCTCTTCCCATGTCTCCGGGTCTCTTGCTATAGCCCATGCATTCACCAAAACTAGAGTTCTTGGTTCAATCTCGTACCCTTCTATGTTGCACCTTCCTATGGATTCTCTTGGCACAAGTAGGGGCACAGGTGTGAACAGTCTCAGAGTCTCCTTCACCACCGCTTTGAAATAAGGAAGCCTTTCTATATCATCTTCACTTGTAAAATCTTTCTCGCCGCATAACATTCTGATTTCATCTTGTACCTTTTTCATCACTCTGGGATTCTTCATCAATGCGGTCATCGCCCAAACTACAGTCGCTGCACTCGTGTCTGTTCCGGCTACAAATATATTCTGCATCCACGCATGAGAAACTGAATAACCTTTACAAAAAGGCAATATATTACAATGGAGTGCAGAAAAAGGACAGTTTTTACCATGAGCACAGCTTTGATGTGATCCAAAGTGAGATCAAGTGAGGTTGAAGGAGCATTCATTATTTGAAGAAATATGTCAATGATGTCTTGTTGGTCGGTTTGAGGTTTTGTTGGATTCATGTGCTCGTTGATGACATGTTCGTAGAACATGTCGAGCTGCTTGCAGGTTTTATCCAATCGACTGAGAAGCCCTCTGAGTCTATCAACCCACCCCAACCATGGCACATAGTCTGAGAAGAAGAATTCCGCCATCAAAGCCTGAGCTTCGTTTAGCAGTCCATGAAATCTGCTTCTCTCACTCACTTCATCTTTCACATCATACCTATTCCCGAAAGCAATCCTACAAATTAAAGTGCTTGTGAAAGACATCAACGTCTCGCTCAAGTTGATCAATCTGTGAGAAGCAGCAGATTGAGATACCTTCCGAATCATTCGCACAACCTCGTCTTCCCGCATGGGACGAAAGGACTGCATGCGCCTAGAACTAAACAGTTGGAGGACACACAATTTTCTCATTTCTCTCCAATAGTCACTGTAGGGAGTGAAAGCCAGGTCTAAGCCATTGTACGACAATTTCCGTTGACCAAGCATGGAGGGTCTGCTAGCAAATACGAGGTCGTGGGTTTTCATGACTTGTTTGGCTATTCTGGCAGAGGAAACAACTATGGTGGGCTTGATGCCAAAGCGCAGGAACATGAGAGGACCATATTGCTTGGAGAGATGACACAAGTGGCGATGTGGACCAGAGCGAAGAAGCTGGTGAAGATTGCCGATGAGAGGAAGACCTGGAGGACCTGGTGGAAGATTTTCTCCTGTTCGTGCTGTTCTGTAGATAAGAAACAGGAAGAAAATAGATGAGAAGAGAATGTAAAGCAACTCCATGTCTGTGATGCAATGCAAATTGGCTGTGGAGCTAAGTACTTGATTCCAAAGTTATATATAATTATATATAGAAGTGGTAGAATGGTTTTGCAATCTAAAAACGAAAAAAGTAAAATGGTCCGCATTTTTTTTTTTTTTTTTTGCGTGGAGAAATATAGTCTCGGTGGGGAAGGACTTCAGATTTGGAGATCTATTTATAAAATTTTATTGATATTAAATGGACATTATTTTATAATAAATTTCATCCAATTCTTAAATTGGACGTACGTAAAACTTGTGCGTTTGTTGGCATAATTTACATCAGCCAGCTGGAAGTTTCTTTCCTTTCCTTTTTCCCCTTACCATGAAAAATTCTCATTTCATTTACATTGAAGCCGAATGGCGAAGAGCACAGGCTACAAACCAAAAGCAGCAGTGAAAAAAGGTGAAAGGGCAAAGTAAACAGAGATGCATGCAACACAAGCTGAACATGGTAAAGAAAAGAGCAACACAATGCAGAGAAAATGTAACTGAGAAACTAAACAGAAAATGAGCTGCAAAAGAACATTGGTTATTGACAGTGCCTTCCCTGCTCCTCAACAGTGACTTCTTGGCAAGAATCCAACGCAAACTTCTAATTAATGACGCAGACCAGTGGCTAATAAGAGAGGGATAATGATGTGTGGAGAAGTGTGGAGAAGAAGCAACTTGTTGGTTGGATGCTCATGACGCATGAGATTGACTTGGGCATGCGATATGGATTGTAATTGGAATCAACGTAATTATCTTCTCTTTTTCTCCCACCTTCTTGTTTTTTCATCATTTTCCACCATCCTTTATCTTCCATCAAATCCGGCAGGCCGTGACCAAGAGTAAGCTTCAGTTATGAGACCATCCCACACACACAATGTCAAAATCTAAGGATCTAGCTGGGAGAAGCACGTGATCCTATCTCATCTATGAATATAATTATGCATTAATTTCCATCAACTTTTTCAGCGGCGACAAAATTTGAAAATATATAGCTATATATAATTTGGCAGTGCATATCTAATCATACGTGGCCGTTCTCTGATTTTGCATCAGCAAGACTAGAGTCTAGACCAGAGGATGAGCGTGCATGCTGGCTTCATAGTGAAAAAGAACAACACAACACATAAAAATAATGCGGCAGTGCCCCTTCGCTTGTGGCATTGCTGTCCTTGTTCACGTGAAATGGTGTCAGTCATATATATATCTATATACAGACCGGACATCATTTATTACATATATATATATATATATATATCAAAATATCATAATTTTATTAAAATTTTTATTAATAAATTTTAAGTTGAAAAAATAATTTTATCATCATTGACACGTTATAATTTTTTGTATAATTTTTAAATTTTTTTAAAAAATTATTATTTTTTAAATAAAAATTATGATTAAGACTTGTTATTTTAAGAACTTATTTTTTAATAATAAAAAATACATTTGAGAAATTGTGATTTTTTAGTCAACTCTTGCAATTTAAAGAACAAAAATTAATATTTTGTCAAGCAAAAATTGTAATTGCAGCTTGTTAATTTAAGAAATTATTTTTCAATAACAAAAATTACATTTGAGAAGTTATGATTTCATAATCAATTCTTGCAATTTAAAGAACAAAAATTATTATTCTCTCAAGCAAAAATTGTGATTGGAGCTTGTTATTTTAAGAACTTATTTTTTAATAATAAAAATTACACTTGATAAGTTATTTGTGAGTATTTGGGTGCTTCGAATGTTTTTGCTGCCTAGCTTTCTCAAGAGCAATTTCTAGTGAACTACTTCTTACATTTGTTTTATTAGTTTTGGGTGAGTTGGATAAAACCATGTACGCTAATTTTAGGTGAGTTGTGTAAAAACCTTTGTCAAAATTGTGTGTGAGCTCATTATATAACTTATAGGGATTGTACTTGAATTTTTATAATGGGAAAATCTCTTGGGTATTTATCAAGAGGACTGGACGTAGGTCAGGGGACCAAACCAGGATAATTTTTGTGGTGCATGATTGTCTCTCTTTCATTTTCTCTCGTTTATAAACTAACTATTTATTTACACATTTCATCTCACACATAAACACTGTCATGATTTTTTGAACTTAATATAATGAAATCAATATTAGTACTGGCTTGCAGACTGAAAAATCACAATTAAAGAAGACAAAAATCATTAAAACTTAGTGATTTCCTGTCAATTAATATCAGCTTTACGTTCTCATATTTTCTATTACCATTATTGTGATTTATTTTATTCAACTTATTTTGAGAATTGATATGTGAATAGTTTTGAGAATCAATTTGGTTTTATGTCAGGTAGATCAACTACAGAGGCGATTTATCTACTAAGGGGATTAATGGAAAAGTATCGTTGTAAAGATAAAGATCTACATATGGTTTTTATTGATTTGGAAAAAGCTTATGACCGTATACCAAGAGAAGTGCTTTGGAAAGCGTTGGAAAAAAAAGGAGTACGGATTGCTTATATTAAAGCCATACAAGATATGTATGAGGGGGTAAAAACTAGTATAAGAACGCCTAGTGGTCAAACAAAGGATTTTCCTATAAAGATTGGACTACATCAGGGATCATCTCTAAGTCCTTATTTGTTCAACTTGATCTTAAATGTTTTGACGGAACATATTCAAGAGAAAATTCCGAAATGTATGCTCTTCGCGGATGATATAGTTCTTATAGCAGAGATAAGAGAAAGGTTAATTGCAAACTTGAGTTATGGAGGAGGACATTGGAGTCGAAAGGTTTTCGTTTGAGTAGAAGTAAGACGGAATATTTATATTGTAAATTTGGTAAAGGACTATTCGACAATAATTTGGAAGTGAAATTGGGAGATCAAATTATACCTCAAGTGGAAAAGTTTAGATATTTGGGAGCCATTATTCAAAATGATGGCGAAATCAGTGGAGATATTTCACATAGAATTCAAGCTGGGTGGTTTAATTGGAGAAAAGCCAAAGGAGTTATTTGCGACCGTAAGGTGCCTAATAAACTTAAAGGAAAGTTTTATCGCACTGCTATCAGACCGGCAATGTTATATAGTAGTGAATGTTGGGCTCTAACGGGACAGCAAGAGCATAAAGTTGGAGTAGCAGAGATGAGAATGTTACGATGGATGTGCGGACATACACGTAAAGATAAAATTCGAAATGAGCACGTACGCGAAAAAGTGAGGGTGGCACTTATTGAGGAAAAAATGGTAGAAAATCGGTTGAGATGGTTTGGACATGTACAAAGAAGACCAAGGGAGGCACCAGTGAGAAGAGTAGAACATATAACTTTGAGTCCGATTAAGAGAGGTAGAGGAAGGCCTAAGAGAACACTTTTGGAAGTTGTTGAGCGCGATCTCTTAATTAATAATATTCCTAAAAGCTTGATAAATGATAGAGCACAATGGCGTCTTGCAATCCATGTAGCCGACCCCACCTAGTGGGATAAAGGCTTGTTGTTGTTGTTGTTGTTGTTGTTGATATGTGAATAGTTTGTGTGCACATTAAAGAGATTTCTTTCTTATATAGGATATAAAACTTAATTGGTTAACATAATTCTTGAATAGCATCCCTAGACTTTCAAGTCCTTTATTGGCTCATGAGACATGTCTGTTTGTTTGTTGTAAGTGAATTTTAATTTTATTTGTCTATGATAACTTTATAATAATTTGTTTAGCCATATGGTATCAAGCTCAATCCCAAACTCATTATTTGTACCTAACGAAAAAATATGGCAATATTAGACTTGCATATTTACCTAAATTGTAGATATGAAAGTATAATTTAAGATTCACCTTGAATAATTTTGTTTAATGTTTTATTTTTATCTTTCTCTTAGTTTTTATCCTAATGAAGAAAGTCAAGGTTCATCTCATAGCATAAACCACTTGAGGAATATTCAATCAATTATATATTACGACATATTGGGTCATATTACATAAATTCATACAAAAAAGATGAGCTTGAGCCTAAATTTTGAAAGGAGCAAGAAGGCCAGCTTGCAAGAGGCCCAAGCCTAACCAAAGCTACCCAATCTCATTTTGCAATGTTTTCCAATCTTTTAATTTTTTAAAGCCTGAAATTTCATGGGGTTTTCCCAAACAAAAATCATGGATTTAAAAACTCCCTAAAACGAAGTTTGTAGAACATGAATTCCATGGCCTAATTATCACACATTAAATAAGAAGTACAAACCCAGTCCAAAAAAAAAACCCAATGACTGTTTCCCAAAAGTTTTTGTTACAATATTGTATTCTATTCTCTTTTTTTCTTCATTTCCAAATAAATCATTTTTTTTCCGCCGGACATGTGAATATTGTTAGTGTTTGAATAGATGATAAAGGATAGCGTAGAATGAAATGACTAAAAAAGACTGGGTCATTGAGAATTTTGTTAATATTATTAGGTTTATTGAGAGCGTTTGATAATTATTCTCTGAACTCTCTATCAAAATGTGTTAAAACAGTTTGCAATCTTCGCCAAGAATGATAATGAGTTGCCATTATCTTCAAGAGTTGCTTCTCATTGGTGTCCCCTCAATCATGTCCTTCCCAGGCTTAAAAGACTTGAGGTTTATCATTGTCATAATAGGTAAGTATGCAGAATGTTATTGGCATTCAGTGAGCAGATTAAAGGTCAAAAGTTCCCTGAAAACTCCTCAGATCAGGAAATGGTTGAAATAGTTATGTCTCGGTGAGTTTGGGTTTCTTTGCTATAGATAGAACATACATTTTATAATAGTCTTTGCTGGCAAGATATATTAATTGTGAATTTGAAATTAGACATATAGTTTGTTCGGGAGCATATTTTTATGCTAAGAAGTGCCATGTAGGCAAAAAAACTTTTACTTTTGCTGTATTTAGCACTGAAGCATGACTGGTTCTCAATTAATGAAATTCAGGGGATTGGAAGAGCTATTCTGCACTGTTTCTCACATAATTATTTCATATTAATACTTTCTTTAAAGACATGTCGTTTCTATGAGAAACCATAGGTTCCGGTAAAATATGGTTGAATTGCTCTATCAGTCTAATTTTTGCTAAGATCATTCCGACCTGGTGCAAGTCACTATTCGGTTAGGTTGAAGCAATTGGTGTTGAAAATAGTTAAGTACA